AACATGGAGAGCTCTGGCGTCCCATCCCCTGCCACCTCCCATGCGCCCACACAGCTGCGCATGGGCACAGCCACCTGAGGCGCTCATCTTATGTCCTTGTCCACTCTGAGAATGCCAGCTGCCTCCTCCAGGACTCAGCTCCAACGTCCCTCCTCCTCTGTGCCCCCACGGCCTCTTGCTTGTGTCTCTGATTGCAGTCAGCACTGGATTACATGTGTGTCTCTGTCAGTAAACTGAGACGTTTCTGGAAGGAAGGGATTGATCTGTTCCTTACCTTTGCATTCCACATACCTGCAATTGGCACTTGGCACATCACAGGTGTGCATTACATGTCTGTTGAGTGAATTATTGAGCCAGCAACAATCCCTTCAATTATACCTCAAACAGCAATAAGAACTCTAGACTCTTCACCATCTTGGCTATTTTCCTTTGGATTTGGTACAGTTTGCCACCAGCCTACTAAACGCTAGAGCTTGTAGTTGGAGTTGATAGACAGGAGGTGTTGTGACCTGTGTGAGGACAGTGGACCTCTGAGCTCCCACCTCGTCCATGCTGTGTCTCATTGCAGCTCACCTGCGCTCATGGACACAGATCTCTCAGCTGCTGCCTGGGGAGCACCATGGCCTCAGCCTGTGCTCAGGAATCACAGCCCCTTGAACTCCCACGTGGCATCTACGCTTTCCTTGTCTCACGTTCTGGCTGACCTGGTCACACCTCCTCCTGCTGCTGGCAATCTCTGTGCCGTTTTGACCCTGCGATGCTGGCTTCATAGACCAGTCATGCCAGGAGCGTACACCTAGGTGTTGTCTTCCTTTTGTTACCTCAAATGGGACTGTCCCTTCACTTTATACCAGTCATACAAACCCAGTGCTGATCTGGGTTTCCAGTGATGTAAGTTGAGCATTACTAGATGCACTGAGTGTTAGTGTCCCTTACTGGAGATGTCTTCCCAGCTCTGCACATAAGTTTCTGGGGGAAAAAAAATGGATCCAGAGAAAGACAGTAGCAATTTCCCCCATTCCACAAAAATCTCCTCCCTCCCCTTTGTCCTTGAATCCAACTCACATTCCTCCATACTCTGAGACCTGAGCGCTCATTCATTCTCTGGCTGCATCCCAGCTCCTCCTGCTTGCCCACCAGCATCACAGGCTTGTCCAGTCTGAATCCCGGCGGAACCCAGGTGTGACTCCCCCTGGGGTTCCACTGTGCAGGTTTCATTCTCCTGCTCTTGCCCACACGCTCCCCCGCTGCCTTTTCTGCTCCTCACCCCTCGTCCTGCAGTTTCTGAGAGCGCTCAGCGAGGCACAGGTGCTGCAGGAGCACAGAGTCACACTGTCCCCCACACGCCCTGGCTTTCCCTTTGCTGAGCACCTGTCAGCCCCAGGAGGGCTGCTCTGGACTTTGCTTGGAAACACCCCAGAGGCACCAGATGAGCTAGAAGGGAGCACCTGAGGTCATGAGGAAAGTTATCAATGCTGGTAACAGAGCTAAGGACACCTTAACCATGTAGCGGTTTAAATACATAACTATAGTTGCTCCGGGTGCTCTGTGGTTACCAGCTGCCTTGGGTTGTACTGTAGCATATAGTAGGAGGTTGCTGGGTGATGATTTGCGTAGTTTCCACCCACTCACCCTGCCCCTCATCCACTGTTTCACTTTCCATGGTCTCAGGTACTTGCGGTCAACCATGGTCTGAAAATATTAAATGGAAAATTCCAGAAATAAACTTTCATCACTTTTTAAATGGGCACCATGCTGAGTAGCACCATGAGATCTCTCACGAGTCTGCTCCATCCTGCCCAAGCTATGAATCACCCTTTGTCCAGCNCATGAGATCTCTCACGAGTCTGCTCCATCCTGCCCAAGCTATGAATCACCCTTTGTCCAGCCCAGCCACACTGTAGACACTTGCCACCCATTAGGCACTTAGTAGCCACCTTTGATCAGATCAGCTGTCACAGTACTGCAGTGCTTGGGTTCAAGTCATCCTTATTTTTACTTCATAATGGCCCCAAAGCACAAAGCTAGTGATGCCAGTAATTTGGGTAGGCCAGAGAGAAGATGTTAAGTGCTTCCTGTAAGTGAAAAGGTCAAAGTTCTCGACTTAATAGGGGGGGAAAAATTCTCTGCTGAGGTTGTGAAGATCTACAGTAAGAATGAATCTTCCATCTGTGCAATTGCGATGAAGGAAAAAAGAAATTTGTGCTAGTTTTGCTGTCACACCTCAAATTTTATCACAGACAAGTTTGTATAGGAAGAAACGTAACATGCATAGGGTTCGGCATGATCTGAAGTTTCAGGCACCCAAGACTTGTTCCAGGACTTGGGNCTTAGTCCAGATATTAATATCTGATTGTCAAAAAGCCTTTTTTCCCCATCAAATTCAAATATGCCTTCTTCCAGTTTCCACCCACGGGCTTTTGTTTGCCCTCAGTAACTTCTCAGATGAAGTCTGTCCCTTTCTTAAAATGACAGCTCCTCTCACCGTGTGAAGGTAGGAGGCTTATGCGCCCTGACTTTTTTCCATCCCCCCGGGAGACTGTATGGCCTGTGGGGATGACTCAGTCAGCAACAGCTGCGGGCTACAGCACCCTGTGTCACCTGTGGCGAGGCACCTGTGTCCTCTTCGTCCCAACCACCCATCTTTGCTTTCAGCCCATCAGCAGCTCTATTCTTCCTTCTTCGAAGAAGCAGTAAGAATGCCATTAATCAAAGAGTGTGCACTGTGACCAGGGATTGCACAGGTACCTTAGCT